AGACCCTGGGGGCCAGGCAGAGGGCGCCGACCACGACCGGGAACGACGGCTCTTGTTGCTGCTGTTCTTGTTCTTGGGTGGGAGGGTGGGGGGGGGGGGGGGGTGGAGGCCCCCGGTTGTTGCCCGTTGTCCCCCCCCCCCCCCCCCCCCGTGGTTCTTCCCCCCCTTGCTCCCCCCACAACCAGAGCCCCTCATGGAGGCCGTCCATCGCGACTGCCAACTCTTCCTGCATGCGTGCGTGCGTGCGTGAGAGAGTTGTGTGTGCGAAGAGGACGTCGGACATGCGGCGGGGGCGGACGGCGTATGTGTACCTGCGAACGGCCGGCGTATACTACATCGAGGCGTTGGTACAAGTCTTGTCCCTTTTGAATTTTGGGTTGTTGTTTGTGGTCGTCGGGTGGGTCTGTCTACTGGGTTCGGCTGCTGGAGGTATCGCGAGTACTGCTGTCGTCGCTCTCGATGAGATATTTCCAAAACCGCCCTGTTCGACAGTGGTAAACCTCCTGGTTGTGGAGAATTTACGCTTTGAAATCGCTCGCAACCCTGTGCGCTGACTGGCAACCTTGCGGTATCGCTTGGTGTTCATCCACATGACGAGTTTTTGGGCGACAAGGTGGGGAGCTGAGCTGTTCCAGTCAAGCGCATCAGAGATGGTTTGGAAGGATGGTGAATGGATGGATGAATGGACGGGCTGCTGCTGCTGCTGCTGCTGCTGCTTCCTCGCCAGTCGTTAAAATAGCACCCTGTTGTTCTGCACCAATACAAAAAACGCCTGCCAACCACCGCGGACTCTTCACATGCATGTGTTCTCTTGTCCTCCTGAAGGGATACTCCTCGCGTGCATGTTCTCTCGTCCTCTCGAAGGCATGCACACTAAGCAGCAGTGTAATGTAGCGCCGTAAAACTGTTCCTGAGAGAGCTTCCCTCTCCAGTTTTAGTTATTGTTCTCAAGTCATCCCGCACATTTCCATCGTTTTTGGTGTGCCTACCTTGCGGCCTTCGTCTCTCCAAAATTGTGATTATAGAGTTGACATGCCGTAGGTTGCATAAGATATCACCCCCCCTGGACCGATTTTCGAAACTCGATATTGTACCTCGGCAGGAAAAGCAGTGGCGGTGCCGAAAATGGCGGGAGGCGTTGGAACCGTCTCGTCGAAAGCTCTCCGAAAACGTATATTTCAGTTTCGGTATCCTCTTCGTCGTGGAGTAGTCGAGCTTTGAAAATCGCTCCAGGGGGTGTGATGTCTTATGCAACCTATAATTTATATGGTAAATCCGGGCAACACGCCTTGCAGTTTACAGCAGCAGTGTTGTCACAAGTAAGTGCAACAAACCCCGCATCCTGATGTACTTGAGCGTATAGGCTTACAGACCCCGTATCAAGCAGGATATTCTCACCCGCTCACTGCAAAGACTTTCAACAACGCGCTCTGTTTTCGATTGCTGCTCCTATGGATCCGCTGTATTTTGTCGAACAGCAGTCGTTCATTCAGTGCATGCCGTTTGTTCCTGAAACGTGAGAATAATAGGTTTCCCGGCCTCTATCCCGCACATCCCCCCTTCTGTGCTCTTCGTGGAAACAATGCCATGCTTTCGGCCGATACGATGACCTCCGCCTCCGTTGTCATCACGACAGCATATGACGTTAAATAACACACCCTCTTAAGACGAAACGGGATCGCTCGATCACCACACACAACAACTGGAGAGTGTTGCGCTACCGATTGTTGGACAAAAAGCATTGAAAGATGATGTCACAGAAGGACTTCCGATATGACCATCGTTGGATTTGGTCCCTCTCCCGTGGCGGGAGGCGGGAGTATATGACATGTCAGGGGGGAAATCGTCCCGGGGGGTGGTATTCCCCGTCATGTGCAGGAGGAGCCTGCTATGCATACAACAGATGGTGTCTGGTGCCAACGTACGAGTTTAGTCCTTGTGTTTCGCGGTACTACTACTGTATATACCTGAAGCGGAACCAACGGGCTGTGCGGATCGTCGCCCACCAGCGCCACGAGCTTCTCCCGCTGAGCTCGGAGGCCCGCCAGCTGACTCTCAAGCGCGCCTTTGTCCGTCATCAGCCCCTCTCTATCGTGTGCGCGGCGGGGTTGTGACGCTGCTGCGGGGGTAAGCAGCAACCTCCGGCACACATCGAAGTTACTTCCTCTTTGTTGCCCGTTTCGAGAGCATCAATCAGGTATTGGGGACTGCCGTTCGAGAGCTACGCGGGTGCGCAGGTTATCGACCAAACAGCACAACAACGGCAATCAAGCTCTGTTGGTTTTGTTTCTTTCCTCCCTCCAGGAGGAGATCCTCCAGCTGGCAGCAGACCGGACCGGGTTGTGCGTCCCACACCGACAGCAGCGCAGTCGGCAGGGGGAGAGGACAGATCGAACGGGCGGGGTCACCCGGACGACAGAAAGAAGATGTAATAACCGTACACCGGTTTTGCGGGGTCCGGAAACATGAACAAAAACGCTTTCTGACAAACAAAACAATTTTTTCACACAAAAAAGAAGAGACATCGCGGCCGCTCGTGATCCCCCGCTCCTCTCACAACCACCTCAACACCCAACTCACACACGCGAGCTCGAGCAGCAGCACCGGCTGGCTACCCTGACCCAAGACAACACAAGGCTCAAGTCAGCAGCATCTACAGCAGCTCCATCGAGTACCATACACACACACTACACACAACGAGCTCAGCGAGAGAGAGCTACATCACCATCATCAACCCACTTTTTGGACGTTGGGTCTTCTGCCAAAACCAATCTGCAGCAGCAGACGTTTGGATCGAGCTGTTCTTCCATCATCATCATGAGGCACTCATCCGGAGCCGCGAGGTTCCTCGCCGCGCTTGCCCTTCTCCTACCGGCATCGACATTAGCAGCAGCGGCACCGTTAGGAACGACAGCAGCAGTAGGAGCAGTTAGGGGGCTAGAGGGAGAGGAAGTAGCGGTGGGATTTCGCGGCCGATTAGCGGCACGCACGGTGAGGAGACTGCAGGAGGACGAAGGATGCACGGAGAACACGTCTGTCGGTGACGCCGAAGCCGGGATCGCGCAGTACGACGACCCGGACGCCTGCCTTAGGGACGGACCTCTTGTCGGATGCAACGGTGAGATGAGATGAGAGATGCTTGGTGTTTTGTTTTGGTCTTGCTCTCTTGCACAAGGATTTGCCTTTTGCCCAAGATATCTATTTTTTCCTTTTTCCGTTACCTCTCTCGCGCGGCGGTTTCAAGGCGCTCGTTGGTTGCGTTGATTAGCTTGTTGCCGACTCACTCTCATCGATGCTGCTATGCACACCCATATGCCGGGGATGTAACTCGAGCATTGTGTAGGGCTGTCGCGTGGTTGTTGTCCTCTACATGTTGTATCTCTCACTACGAACAAACAAGACTGCTGTTACGACAATCCAAAACATACAAACAAAAGGTTCAGACGCTCCAATAAATAGGCGAACGACGGCTTGGGGTACTCGGTACAGTAAAAGTATATGACAAAAGACTCCAATAGATAATAGATTCGTGGCGTCAAGTCATGTACTCTACTCGTTCAATACACACTCGTGCGGCGAACGACAGCAGTAGTAAAACAACCATCCTTAACTCTGCACTGCTGCTGTGCTGCCTCGTTTGCACATTTATTTCTCTTTTCGTTTATTTGCAGTGCTCGGGATCTCGAGCTGCCGGTTGTGCGTGACGAACGGAGGAGAGGCGGCCGACTACCTGCCCAGCTGCCCGGAGGGGGTGGAGGAGATCATCGAGGAGCTCTTCCCCCAGACGAGAGACACCGACGCGCCTTCCACCGCGCCCCCCGCCACCGAGACGCCCCTGCTGGAGGGCGCCACGCCAGCGCCGGCAGACCTAGTAGCAACCCCGATCCCTTCGGAGGTCGGGGGCACCTCGTCCCCCGCCGCGACCGGCTCGCCCGCGCAGACCGCCGCTCCCGGAGCGACCTCGGCACCGGCGATCGCGACGACTACTGCGCCGGGAGCGACGCTGTCTCCTGATGCTACCGCCGCTCCCGGAGCGACCTCGGCACCGGCGATCGCGACGACTGCCGCGCCCGGAGCTACGTTGGCTCCCGGTGCTACCGCCGCTCCTGGGGCGACCACTGCTCCCGGAGCAACCGCTGCTCCCGGTGCTACCGCTGCTCCCGGAGCGACCTCTGCGCCGGCGATCGTGACGACTGCTGCGCCGGGAGCGACGTTGGCTCCTGGTGCTACCGCCGCTCCCGGAGCGACCTCTGCGCCGGCGATCGTGACGACTGCTGCGCCGGGAGCTACGTTGGCTCCTGGTGCTACCGCTGCTCCTGGGGCGACCACTGCTCCCGGAGCAACCGCTGCTCCCGGAGCGACCTCTGCGCCGGCGATCGTGACGACTGCTGCGCCAGGAGCTACGTTGGCTCCCGGTGCTACCGCCGCTCCCGGAGCGACCTCTGCGCCGGCGATCGTGACGACTGCTGCGCCAGGAGCGACGTTGGCTCCCGGTGCTACCGCCGCTCCCGGAGCGACCTCTGCGCCGGCGATCGTGACGACTGCTGCGCCGGGAGCTACGTTGGCTCCTGGTGCTACCACGGCTCCCGGAGCGACGGCTGCGCCCGGAGCGACGTTGGCTCCTGGCACCACCGCTGCTCCCGGAGCGACCTCTGCGCCGGCGATCGTGACGACTGCAGCGCCGGGAGCTACGCTGGCTCCCGGTGCTACCGCTGCTCCCGGAGCGACGGCTGCCCCTGCCCCCACCGTCCCCACCTTGGCTCCAGGTAAATGTTGTCTTGTACTTTATTTAGTATGCCAGGAGCTAGATATTGATAGGTAAATTCACTTGCAGAACGAAATAAAAAGAGTACTTCGGAATTACTTCTTATTATTTTATGTTTTATATTTTAAACAAATATGTATTCAATACGCCCGCCCTCTGCCCTACCTCGCCTCACAGGAGCCACTTCAGCGCCTGTCGCGACCATCGCCCCCGGAACGACGCTGTCACCGGGAGAGACGTGGGCCCCGAACCTCGTCCGCGAGCTGCCCACCCTGGCTCCCGGCGCGACCCTGGCCCCGAGCCCGACCGCGGCCCCTTCCCTGCTGGCCCCCACCGTGTCTCCGTTCGCGTTCACGGGGACCCCGACCGCCGCCCCGACGGAGAGTCCCACCGCCGTCCCGACCGGCAGCCCGACCGGCAGCCCGACCGGCAGCCCGACCGGCGCTCCCACCGGCGCTCCCACGTTCGCCCCCACGGGAAGCCCCACCGCCGTCCCGACCAGCAGCCCTACGGTCGTGCCGACGCCGGCGGCGACGGTGGTCGACGACGAGCCGGACGGGTCCCTGATCGGGTCCATCACCATCATCTCCGACGAGGAGCCAGAGTGCGAGGGCGCCGGCAACTGCGAGGAGGTCGTCGAGGACGGGCTGGAGAGCTCGCTGGGGCGGAACGGCACCGTCAACGTGACGGACGTGACGGTGACCTCCACGGCGGCTGCGGCGGACGCCGGCAGGAGGGTTCTCCTATTCGTTGCGGACGGCGACGTCGCTGACAACAGCAGCAGGAACCGCCTGCTTCGCGGAAGCCGGCAGCTCCAGGAGGAGGAGGAGGCCGCGGGCAACCAGACCGAGACCGAGATCGAATACGAGTCGTCGCCGGACCAGTCTTCGAACTTGACGGAGGCACAGCAGGCCGCCGAGCAGATCAACGCCCTGGCGGAGACCGGGATCGCGGACCTTCTGGACGAGATGGGCCTGCCGCCGGACACCGAGGTCGAGCTTGGGGTCACCAAGTTCGTGCAACGTGAGTTTCTTCTTGTGTTTTTTCTTGTCGTCTTTGCTGTTTGTTTCGAAAATACGTACAATATAACGTGAGTTCCCGTTTTTGTTTTTTTGTCGACATTGCGTTTTTTTCGACCTCTTGGTGCAGGTTAGTTGGTTGGCTTGGCCTCTGTACTGGCTTGCTCGTCTTTCGGTACTCGTAGTGGAGAGGTAAAATTAATCACGTGTGTTGTACTCATCCATGACTCCGCTGCTGATCTGCTTCCCGTCTTGTGGATATTTCTTCGTTGCCTGCCTGCAGTGGGAACGATCACTGACGACGCCGAGGACTGGGACGGCATCTTCAGCGCTGCGTTGGCGGACGACAGGTCTATTTCGACCGCGGCTTACCTTGGATTCGCGCTCGCGCTGGTGAGTTTTTTTATCACAGCGAAAAAAGTTCTTGGAAGAAATTGTGGGAACAGTTCGCTGCTGTTCTTTTGTAGTAGGGTTGCCTTGTTAGGTGGTCGTCGTAGCAGAATATGGGGGCTGCGTGCCTTGATTTTCGTTGCACATGAGAAAGAAAATTCACATTTCGGAGAAAAAACTACCGTGCCTTCCCCCCCCCGTCAAGAATGAGTTCAAGTCAAGCTTGATTCAACCTCCCCCCCCCCCCTCGGGGTTTGGGTTTTCGTCGCTTGGCAACGACGTTGTAAAACAAGCCCCCCACTCGATGTTTGCCATCGGGATTGGGTTTTCGTCGATTGGCAACGACGTTGTAAAACAAGCCAATTCACTTCGTGAACTCGGCAACCAGGTTACCGTTTTTTTTTACCTCGCGGTAACCATAATGGTGGTCGAGTAGATCATGTTGTGCGGGGTCGAGAAACCTCACTCCGCGCAACGGGGGATGATCGCACCACGTTGTGTTAAAATGGTCAAGCTTCCTCGAGGCAGTTACACAGTGCTTACAACTGTCTCTGGAAGTGAAAGCACCAGAAAATAAATTAAGTCAACGTAGCTGTCATCCGTGCGCAAGGAAGTAAGCACAAGATGCCGAACACACTTAGCAGGATGCAGCTCACCCTTCATGCGACTCGCCAAATACCTCACGGCGCTTCGCGCTTGGTGATGTGAGAGCCTGGTCCGGTGTGAACCCGGCGTGCTCCGTCCCGGCTTTGTAGGGATGCGAGGTCAATGGTCAAACGACTACGGCATGCACGACTATGAGTACCCCCCCCCCCCCCCCCCCCCCCC